CTGCAAATAAATTGCCCTTGAGCCCTGCAATGACACTTCCTATGATCCCTTTCATTAGTAGATTTAGCAGTGGTGTATGCTTTGTTCTCTTGTGTGTTCTTTTGAACCAGTCATGAATTTTCACATACTTGGGTGCTGCATGTGTGTAAATTTGCTTCTTTTTTGGGTGCTAACCAACTAGTTGCCCTCAGGTACGACTCTGGGCAATGCTCACTTAAGGCACCTCTCTCCACAGGCAGCACATAGAGGGTCATGTCAGGATTGTCTTCTGCCCTGCAGTGGTCTCTAATACCATCCTCTTGACTAAGCTGCCAAGCTCATGTCCTTGCACATTCTTGTATGTCCCCTAGGCTTGACCCATGGCATGTAATATGCACCTTGGCACCTTGGATGAAAGCTTTGCTCCAGCAGCCCCTCATCATTTCAGACTTCCTGAACTGAAACAAGAGCAAAATGTAGTAACTGCCTCCAGGCACCACATGGAGCACAGAGGAAAAGCCAGGCCAATGGTGATGCCATGTGCAGCCATGCCTTTGCTAAGTGGGGCGAGGCCGAAAGGGGCGAATGTCTGGCATGGTCCTCTCTGAACTGGATTTACATTTAGAATGTAAAGCTAGCTTTGAAGTATCTGTAGTAGGCCACCTTAAATCTCTAGATAATATCATTGACCCTCTCACTATAATTCTGTTGTTAATAGCTCCTGGCTCCTAGACTTCAGAGTGATTAGGCTGTAGAGAAATTTGGAACACATCAGATGCTTTGATATTTTGTGCAGATACAAGGTAGAGCACAGCTGCTTTTTGCTGTGCTTTGTTGCTCAGATGCTGGTCTTTGTTAACTTACTTTTGTCAGGGAAAATCAAAATCAAGGGCCAGTTTCTTGTCAGAGCGAACAGGAATCACTATAGACTGTATTTATAATAAGAGATGGAAATAGCACATTGCACACGCTCATCAGCGTGTTGCAGCAGGACTGCTGCTGTTGATTAATTGCAAAATGCTTACAAGCTGTGTATATTTCGTAGCTGCAGGTGGCTGCTTTATGATGCTTTGGGATCAATTATTAAATCTGAAAAAATATTCATCACAGTTGCTTTTTAGTAGTTTTTCTCTAGCTTGTACCTGTTAAGCCAGGTGTTTACATGTAATTTATGCACATCTGAATATATTAATGCACAGTCTGCATTCCTGCATGTAGAAATCCTTACACAGTTGACACAGCAGAGAAGCACATAGACCATTCAGAGTAAATTTTACATCTGACTGATATTCAGTATACAGACATTCTCAGTCTTTACTGAGAACGAATATAGTGTAATTTACACAGTGCATGCAAATGACTGTGATGTATTATAAAATTTAATTGCACATATCAAACTAATAAAGATTTGGAGCAGGATCAAGCTTTCTCCAACAGACACCCTGACAAGAGCAGAAAATCTCAGTGTGTCATAGCATAGATATTGAGATTGAATATTTTATGAACCTGTATTATTCATGTAAAGACAGCATTCCAAGGATATATGCAGAGCTGTTATAATGAAAGTAATACAAGATGAAAGTGGAAGTTTTCTCAAAGAAGTATTATCAATAGCAGGGAAAACACTGGTAGTTGTTTTGGATCCCTTATTTCATTGTGCAGTCAAGGCAGGACTGGAATTGTACCCCAGAGTGAGTTCACTTTAGCAAAATACCTTTAGAAATAGAAGCAGTTCCCAACTCATCTGCATGCTAAGCGCCTCTCTCCCTCACAGAACTAGGTTTTGCTGAAAAGCTTACAGGAGCAGACTAACAAGATAAACCATCTCTTGACTTTTTGTGTTAAAATTGCAAATATAATGTATTATATCATGTAAGATATGAGATGCATAAGTGACCAAGGTTAAAACTTCCAAAACCTGTGCAATAAGTATTTTGATTCTTATCAATGGGCAAAAGCAATTTTCTCTATGCCATAAAACTCTTGCTGTGTTTCGTCATTCTGTTGGGTTACTGTTAAATTTCTAATTGTACTTCAGAATATTAAGACTGAGATTATAAAAGTAAATAAATTGGAGAACTCTAGTTTTCCTGGGAAACATTGTGAGTATTAATAGCAGTTATAAGGGGAGGCAAAAGTATGCTTTTGATTCTTCAAACTGAAAAGTAAAAATGCTGCTGAGAACAGAGAAAGAAGTAGAATCTGGGACTGTAAGACAGAGAGCAGTCACTTGAAAAGTATTTGGAAAAAAGACAGTCTGGTACTTGCAGCTCAGCAAGACAAGATTTTGGCCATGCACAAGGATTCCTTCTCCAGGGTCTGTGCTTTTCAAATCTGTGGAGCAAAGAAGTGTGTTTAAAGATGAGTACCAATGTTATCTATGACAATGTAACATTACTCTTTAAAAAAAAAATCCATCTGCTATTTTCAATCTCTACTGTGGCTCAAAGCTAAAATATTAATTTTTGTAATTTAGTGAATGGATATTTTTACAGTTATTATTTCTGTTGCTATATTTATTATCTGTCCCAACAACCTGGCTCTCACTGTTAAATTTCAGCACCCACCATGTTGTCCAGGTAGTCCAGAACAACATACCTTTACCAATTAGTGCCAGGACCGTGATGGTTTTGTAGCTACCTCTAGAGTCTCCTCATTTACTTTTCCTGAGCCCTGAATACTAATCCTATTCAGCTGAACACATTTCAGGCTCTACCCTATTATATCTTCCAGGTCATGCTTCCTGATCTGGCTGGCTCTGGGAATGGAGACAGGGGGTAAACCACATAATCTCATATGCTTTCTTAGGTTGTTAGGAGCAGATTTGAAAAGGCATACTTTCAGGCAGATCCAGCTGAGTGAGAGAGAGAGAGATTAAGAAAACAATGTGGATGGAAAATGCATACCTACAGAAAATGTGAAAATCCTGCTTTGGAGTACAACTCAGTATGTGGCTTATACTTTCTAGGTGCTGTTTGAGTTATTTTTCAGGCTGATCCTGCCTATCAGCATTGACATGCTGAACACACCCTCAGTTTTTAAAGAGAAAGTTCAGGACCAAATGTAGTGTTTGGGTTTCTACATACTGAGTCACTGAATCTCCAACAAATCCCTCCCACAGCCACCTGCACTGTGTAAGAGTGGAGCCTGGTCTGCCTGGTGTACCTTGCCTACCCTACTTCACCACACATTCAGCAGCACTGGTTAATGTGTTTTCAGCTGACCAAGGACTGGCCATGTGGATGAGCTGTAGTGGCCTATAGGAAAACCTCAGAGCTGTTGGCCTCAGAAGAGAGGAAAGGATCTGTGGAAGTAGTTAATCTGTTCTACACAGAGGCATTTGGCAGCTTAATAGACGTAGATAAACAAACCCAGGTCCAAAAAGCTTAAGAGGCAAACCTCAGCCCCTTTCACTGTGGGCGTGTCTTCTCTAAGCTCAATATAGTAATTCTTTCACTTTGGCCATGTTTGCTGTTTCCTTGAGAGCTTCAGAGAGGTTACTCTGATAGCTCTGTGGTATGATTTCTCCTTGCCCTCCACCAGCTCTGCAGACCCAAAGAGCAAGGGCCAGCTGATCTCCACAGCCTGTTTAAACACCCTGGGGAATGGGCAGGCTGTGTGGAGGCTACAAAAGCCTTAAGTTTTATTGTGATGAATAAGATCTGTCAAGATCTGTCAGTTTCAAACATCAACAATGTGCAACAGGATGGTGAAAAATTTTTCAGAGCAATTCAGTCTCCACAGCAGGTGGAGATGGAAGAAATATTTGCTTTTTCATCTGTTTCCCTGAGCAGACCATGAAAAAGATGCATGCAGATTTTCCAGGGGTGAATAAAGGAGCACTGAAATGAAGGGGTAAATGCAGAAGAATGTTGTAGCATGTACTTATGTGAAACTCTGTCATATCTATTACTTTCTGAGAGAAAAGATAAAATATGTACCCATTGAACTTTGGGCATATTTTGAACTAAATTTAAAAAAAACCAGGACAATGAGTTTGAAGACAGTACGTTATTGCATCACATGGTGGCTTTGGTGGAAGAAATTTAAAGATCATTGAGAACAACTGTCATCATCTAGAAGACTGATTTCTGCCATGTGACAGCAGAATTCACTCTAGATCAGCCATAATGCATAGAGAACCTGTAAAGGACTGGAAGCTCTTCTTGCTCAAGGAAAACATGAAAACTTCTGGGTGAAAATGAAATTGCATTTTAAAGGACGTGGGATAGAAGCTTGACCAAAGGGATGAAGTCTTTAAACGATTTCAAAATATTTACATTACTTTCTAATCCTACAGTTGCAAGCCTAGAGTCTGACTGCCCAGAGAGGTTGTGGAGTCTCCTCACTGGAGATATTCAAGAACTGTTTGGACACAATCCTGTGCAATGGGCTCTAGGAAGCAGGGATGTTGAACCAGATGCTCCACTGTGGTCCTATCCAGCTTAACTATTCTGTGGTTTTCCAAACAAATTCCCCAAGAGTTATTTCTGTTTCAGAACTACTGAGATAATATGTTCTGTAAAGTCCACTGTTTGCTTTGAAGACATTTTGTGGTGAGAAGTAAGAATTTGCCAAGTCAAAATACATTATATTTTTGATACTATGTATCTTAGTATTTAACATTTTTCTGTGGAATGCATAAAGGATTGTTTTCCCTTTTTTAAATTTTTCTGTGAGAATTGTATCTTCTTTTGCAGTCACTCAACCTAGCAAGGTGGCTAGAGGCATATTACCAAGTATGTGGTTAGTAGACAGTATCATGACCTGTCTACATATCAACTGTGTAAAGGCTATTAACAAGACATCTAATTTGTAACAGTTTGCCCTAATGAAGATCTTCAGATTGCAGCCTTTTAAAGAAAAGTCATTTCCAGTTTGTAATTGAGGAAGAGTAATTGTTTCTTCAATCAGAATAGTCTTTTTATGTTAGTAAATGAGAAAGACCAAGTCAGATCACCATTCTTGCAAGGCTTTGCTGTAAGTTATTCTAACTGTTGCTTCTTTTTCTCTGCTTTCAGAGGCTGGCAGCAAGAAGCTAAAGAGCACGATACAGAGAAGCACAGAAACAGGAATGGCAGCAGAGATGAGAAGTCGTATGGTTCGACAGCCAAGTCGAGAATCCACTGACGGCAGCATAAATAGTTATAGCTCTGAGGGCAAGTGAGTGGCATTAAAAATATCAGTAATGTAGGAGAAGTTTCTAAAAGTAGAAGTTTCTTTCCCATTACTTGGGATGTCCCACATTCTAGCTGAGGGGAATAGCTTTGTGTAAAAATTCTTCCTCTTGAAACATTTGAAAAACTGAACTATTTTAGGTACATAGCACAAATTTCATGGAAATTGAAACTGAGACAGAGCTTCGTAAGAATTCTTATTTTCCCTGTCACCCAGTGAGGCATTTTTTTCATCAAAAGACAACTAAATTAAGATTACATTATTCAAAACAAAACACAGGAATGCTTTTTCTTTGAGATTTGTTGGGATTACCTCATAGTTAAACTTCACATGTTTTATGTGAATCCCTGTGATATGAAACTCTGTGCAGTAGTACTAGATACAAAGAAAGTTTAATTTGGAGTTGTTCCAAGTGTCTTCTTAAGAGCTGTAAACACAGAGCCCAGCTGTCCCATCAGCTGAAGTCAGACATACAGCTGTGGGGAATAGGGCAGCTGTTTCCATTCACTGCTGAACAATTTGATATGTCGGAAAGGAGAACAAAGGCAGTTCTGACACAAAAACGTACAGGAATATTCCAGCATCCTCACAGTGGGACTCTACTGTGTGTGCCCAGGTGTAGTGGTTACTAGGGAATTCTTAGAAGATGACTTCCCAAATAAAGGGGAAATTGGGAGTGGGCAAACGCACCTTTATAGACCTGGGAAAAAATGAGAGATTTGGACTTCTTGGCTTCACCTTTTTGTATGCTTACTGTGTTACCACAATTGCTGCTGCATATTGTATAAGGCACAAAGAGCCGAGGCTGCTGTGATGGTGGTGGCAAGGATCTGTGTAAAGGTGCCTCTATCATCAGATCTTCTCACCACTCTAATTTTTTTTGCAACACTGTAACAGGTTGCCCAAAGAAATTGTGGATTGGTTTATCATTGGGAGTGTTCACAGCCAGATTAGATGGGGTTTTGAGTTACCTGATTTAGTGAAAGGTGTGCTTGTGCATGGCACAGGCATCACAACTTGATGACTTTTAAGGTGCCTTCCAATCCAAACCATTTTATGGTTCTGTGATAATGCTAAGCATTTTAATAGCCATGTAAGAAAAACAGGCTCCATCATGACTAATACAAAACCAAAGCAGATAAAGATCAGATGAAGAATGAGGGACAAGAGTAAAATATCCCAGTGTTTTCCCCATTATGATTCCTTGACAGGCCATTACTTTTACCCTTTCAACACTTCACCCTGCCATTCTCTTTCCCTTCTCTTAGGCTGGAGTGTCAATCTGTAGGGCATCAGTTACTCACCTTGGTGACAAAAGGCCAAATAAACTGGACCCTTTAGGGAGGAGCTGGGGGAGCCTGTTTCCCTGGTTAGCAGTGGAGAGGAAAGGTGGGAGCCCAGCACTAAGGCTGAGCACATTTTCAGGGGAACAGCTTAATCCTCTGTTCCACCTTCATTGTGTGTATATAGATTTGGCAGGGCTAGGGCAGCCAAGGTCTGGATATGGAGGTCACAGCAGGCATCTGCAGGACAGAAAGGTAAAGCCATAAATTGCTGATTTGAGAATCATCCTCTGAGTAAGGCAGTGAGGAAAGCAAGCTTGAGAAGTGAACTGAGTGCTTGCACCCCAGGTACCTTGTCATGTTCTTTTCCTTGACCCTTACGTGGAGTTCAATGGATTAGAATTAATGCGCATTAAGATTAATATGTACTTCCAACCTTCATTATCATATGTATAGCCAGAAGTGTGGTCTCAAGTGAGTATTTTCAATGTTGTTAGTCAGCCTATGGCAAAATGTAACACTTTTTTGGAAAAAAACCCAATAAAACAGCAAGAAGCATCTCATAGCAGATGCAAAAGTGAAAGGATAGTGCCACTGGGGAGAGAAGCAGATAGTATCTTGGTGTTGAACTGGAAACCTTGAGATTCTTTTCTTCCTCCATCTAAAGAAACCATATTTAGAAAAAGAATTTAAAACTAAATTTCTGTGAAAAAGCTTAGCTTTTGAAAAATAAATAGTTTTCTAAATAAAAACGCAGTGCCAAGGGTATGGCATGAAGCTGAATCAGGGAAGATTTAGGTTAGATGCTAGAAAAAGTTTTTCTGCCCAGAGAATGGTCACAACAACAAGCCTGACAGAGTTCAAGAAGTGTTTGGACAATGTTTTCAGGCACCTGGTGAGATTTTTGGGGCTGTCCTGTGCAGGGCCAGGAGCTGGACTTTGATGATCCCTGTGGATCCCTTCCATCTCAGGCTATTCTATGATTCTATGATATTTTCTGACCGGCTTCAGTCACCAACAGTCAATAAGTTTAATGCAGGCATAGAAAGAACAGTTAGTCTTCAAGAGAGGAATGGACTTTTTCTATGCAACTACTGGATTGGCAAAGAACTGTGAATTGAATGGCTGAAGCACACAAGCCTGATGTGCGGAAACCAAAGCTTTTAATACTAGGTGCTTTTGGTTTTATTAGGAAGTTTGTTATTATTTTTGCAGTCTAATAGGGAATTTCATTTGAGGAAGAAGAAGAAGTGGCAGATGACCTGCTGGGGAATACGTTGTCTAGACTTGGTTCAGAGTCTGTTCTTTTATTTCTCATAATTGTTATAAGGAAGTCAAAGCTGAGTCTTCCCTCCATGGATCACTCTTTCTCTCTCTTTGATTTTTTCTTTAGTTATTGTTTGGAGATTGTATATCTATTTTTTTTAAAAGTGGATACTATGGAATATAAGGAAGCCGCTTGGTAAAGTACACATTATAGCATCATAGGATAGCTTGAGTTGGAAGGGACCTGTAAAGGTAATTTAGTCTAACCCCCTGCCCTGGGCAGGGCCGTATTCAAGATGAGGTTGCTCAAAGCCCTGTCTAACCTGGCCTTGAATGTTTCCATATACGCTGTGCTGATGTGTTACAGTTCAGTTTGTATCGTTACAGAGGGGTGGGTAGCAACTGCAGATCCAGATTTGTCTGCCAGAATATTTTGTTTCGAGAGTGGCATTAGGTTTAGCTCTGATCACCACTACTGCTAACTACCTGCCAGTTTACTGCTTCTTTAAACAGCTGCAGCAATCAGATTAATTTAGTGTGTACGTCTCTTTTCCCTGTTTGTTCTAACTGATACAGATGGGGTTTGGATCAATGTAAATCACACACTCACTAATGAAGTATAGGCTATGAAATTTCATTAAGCTTTTTATTATGTTTTCTCATACAAGGTCATTTGTGGTCTATTTACCTATCAAGCTCTTCACTGCTCCTGGAGACTTCCTTAGCAAGACCTAATTTATGGACTACTTCGAGTTGATGTGCAGAGTTTCTCTACACTGCTTTGGGGTCCATGGGAAACATATCATTCCTGATGCTGCAGAATGATTTGTGGTTGTGCATCCTGAGCTGCTTGCCTTTTATCAGTAGTACTTTTGTGGTAAATACTGTAGGATGACAGAAATTAATCCTATTCTTATTCTTAACCAGCTCTTTTTTTTTTCAGTTTAATATTTCCTGGAGTACGGTTGGGTGCTGACAGTCAGTTCAGTGATTTCCTCGATGGACTGGGACCTGCACAGTTAGTAGGCCGACAAACACTAGCAACCCCTGCCATGGGTAAGAATGATATGTTCTCCTCTGTTAAATGAATAATAAGACAACCAACTAATGCACACACTGGCAGACTACAGCACCTAAAGGATTTTTACCAAGTGTCTTCCTTCATTGTCAACATGAAGGTCCTATCTGCAGTCACCAGCGTTCCTATCATGGCAGCACCCAAAGTGGGGTGAGAAACTATTTGCTCCATTTGAGGTACTGGCTAATCTTATTTGCAATTTGAAGATAGGGGTTTTACTTCCCACACAAAAGTATTGTGACTTCTCCAATCGTAGCTTGCTGCAAAATCTCAGCTGTTCAGAGTTCATATTTACTTGACACAGATTATATTGGATGTGACAGAGGGCTTCTGGACAAACTGCACTTTTCCAAGTTTAGTTCATTTAACTCCAGAAAGTGAATCTTCTGGAAACATTTGCAATGACCAATAATCAGTCGCTGATAAAGCCAGTGCTTGTCGTGAGAGACACAAAGTCCTTTTCTACAACAGCTGCTGGGGTCTGTCTGTGATCTTCTCTATTTTCCAGACCAGTCTGTAATTTCCTTTAGCAGCATTAGATGTAGCTTCTTTATGAACAGGGTATGAGTTGTATAAGAAGTACAAGAGTGCAGAACTGTGTAAGTATCTTTGGAAACATCTGGGGCTGGAGTTCTTTGGGGGTTTTTTACTTATATATGAGCAGTTCTTAGACATGCTTTAGGATGCTAATTGAGGAGTCCTTGATCCACTACTGTAATAATACTTCTCCTGCTGGAAATTATAATGGCCAGTACTTCAATAAAACTGTCATGGTAAACTAGCTTTAGGAAGGGCTACTGAAACACATCTGAAAAAAGAGAGAGAAACAGGAAAAAAAATTGCAAAAAAGTGTTCCCTTCCCAACTGATGAGCAGAGGAAACCTATATTGAGAATGCTCTGAGGACCCTCTAAGGCAAAACTTGCTGTATAAATCCAAATGACTGCTACTAAAGCATTCATAAACAGTAAACTTATTAAATTAGCATTTTTATTATTATTTTGGAAGAAAATTTTTAGTGAGATTATTTGTCCAATAAATATATAAATGGCTTTATTGGCATGTATATGTGTCTACATTTCTTCAGTTTCTTTACTGTAATCTTGTTTTGTGACTAAAGATTTTTCTGCAGATAACTTGAGTAAAACATTTATTTTGACTTTTTTTAGACCTTTATCCACTATAGGCTCAAGTTTTGGCCCACAAAAAGCACTCCACTGTGTTTTTGAACAATTTTAGAAGATCTGCTCTGTGCTATCCTTTCATTAGTGATGATTTGAAGATGTTTGGATTATCGCTCCCCCTTCTGGTTACCTGTTGCATGTTTTATTTTGGATATGAGATAGAGATGTGCTCTTAAGAAGGCTTGTTGGAATTTACCTCTGAACTATTTTTAGTGCAAAACACGGCTGTGTTTATTCAAGCAAAGTTTAATTGATAAAAAAATCTTTGTTGCTGTTCTGTCATACCTCACATACCAAGGTATAAACACTGCTTTAATATGCTGTTAGAGAAACATGTGAAAATCTCACACCCAATTAATTTCAAAATGCTGTTTCTCTAAATCCAGACTCCAAATTCTATAGTTCAGGATCAGCTATTTGTGAATTTGGTTTTTTTTTATACAATCAGAGCTTACATATCAAATATAAACATACTCACATGTATCATGGATGTATTTAATTTATTTGCTCAAGTGTCACGTAGTTGCTCATGTCATACTGTGCATTTTTTATTCTAAATGGCCTATTTTAATCTATTTTAATATAAGTTAGATTTCTACTCAGCTGATTCCATGATATATGAAAGCATAGAGATACAATGTTTTGAGCATCAGTACATAGTTTACTGCCCTTGTGTTTTATTGATCTAGATCAGAACAGTGCTTAGTCTCAATGTAAGCAGTTCCCTTTTTCCGCAGGAAATGTCATTTGTCAAAACTCAGGCAAGGAAACAAGTTTGACTGTTTAGAAATGAAAACAGTTTCTTTTTTTAACATGTTGTGACATTTTAGTCACACCAAAAATGTGTATGGAATATTGATAAAAATTGAAAAATTGTCACCTGTGTGCTTGGTGGAGACTTTTGAAGAAAAAGATGCCTCTTTTTAGCTGGTATGAACTGTATACCTAGAAAGGGAACCATGCTCCCTAAGTGTATATTATTTAGTCCTTGTTTAAGGATGGAGAAGCTAAAGGGATCATAAGGAGACACAACAAGCACAGTAATGCAGAAGAATAATATAAAACTAGTCTTTCTCACTCTTATACCTTTCTCCTGTGCTGTACTGCTTCTCTAAAATGTGGGCTTCTTTCTTCTCCCTCTCAGGTGACATCCAGATTGGAATGGTGGATAAAAAAGGCCAGTTAGAAGTAGAAGTCATTAGAGCCCGTGGCCTCACACAAAAACCTGGCTCCAAATCTACCCCAGGTATGGGAAAAAAACTATACACAACAATGCTTCAAGAAGGGAGCAGCTTGTGCTAGTGTTTCTGTCAGTGTCAATAATTTACACAATGTATATTGTAATAATACTGTATAATTTTATAAGAACATTTGCTGAAGTTCTACTTATCTATAGGAACAATTATTAGAGAAGATTTAGAATCAATAGCCCAACCACTGCTTATTCTAAAACCTGGAACAGTTATTTTAGATGACATTTAGTGAAAATGGTACTTTGCAATCTCTTTAAGAGCTAGAGATGAAAGTGCAATTCGTGTCTGTATCATTGGAGTGGCAGAGTCGTAAAGGTTCCTTTTGCTTTGAACTATCTCTGACCCCTAAGAATTTATAGAGAATCCAAAATAGCTGTCAGTGACAGTCAACTCCTGGAAAAAGAAAATGTTTTTAAAATGACTGACATGAAGTGTAATTGTTGTTAGTAAGATCTTAGATCATTATATTCAAAGTTTATAAAAATCAAATTGAATTCTTGTGGGCTGTGTCACCTTTTTTATGAATATAATTGTATTCAGATTATACAATTGCAAAGATGAAATGAAAATAACGTGTGTCATTTTCTTTCTACTCTGCTTCCTTTTAAGGCATTTGTCCTCCATTTCAGATGTGCACTGTAAGTCCAAACATAACATTCTTGATGTTCTGTTTGCAGCTCCATATGTTAAAGTGTATTTACTGGAAAATGGAGCATGTATAGCTAAGAAGAAGACAAGAATTGCAAGGAAGACGCTTGATCCTCTGTACCAACAGACACTGGTTTTTGAGGAAAGTCCACAGGGTAAAGTCCTTCAGGTCAGTTTCTTCTTAATCCCATTTTAGGCTGTCATTTGGGGAATCACTTGCATGTTTACTTAAATTTAACAAGTATGTGTAAATCCATTCCAACTCACTAAACATTTAATTTTATAAATACCATTACAGACATCCTTGTGGCTTGAGACTTGCAAAATGTCTCATTGCTTTAAACATTTCTCTTTTGTTACTCTTCTTCCTGTCCTGCCATGAGGTTTTTCCATGAAAGGGAAGCAGTCATTCACTCTTGAGCAGTCATTCACATTTTCCTTATGCTAACACATATAACAGCAAGAGTGAACATACACAGATTTAAGTATATAACCCTGTATAAGCATGGATTTGGGGACAATCATGAACCTTAATTTTATGTTCTTCCAGGTAATAGTCTGGGGAGACTATGGCCGAATGGACCACAAATGCTTCATGGGAGTTGCCCAGATCCTTCTGGAGGAATTGGATCTGTCCAGCGTGGTAATAGGCTGGTATAAATTATTTCCACCTTCATCGCTTGTGGATCCAACATTGACTCCCCTGACACGTAGGGCTTCCCAGTCATCTCTGGAAAGTTCAACTGGGCCTCCCTGCATTAGATCATAGTAGCAGGTGCTGTCTATTCAAAAACATCACCCAGGATAACAATTGGAACCAGATATTCACATGATCAACAAACATTGTTGGAGAGAGACAATCACTTCCGTTTTTGCTTGTAGTAGTTATCCAAACATATGTCTGTCTGTTGAGAGATGGCTTAAATTGACAGAACAAAGGTATATCACATACAGCTAATCTATTAGCAGCTACCACTGATGCTTATAATGAAAAAAAAAAAAAAAAGGAAAGAAAGGAAAAAAAAAAAAAAGAGAGGGACATTTAGATTTGACCTAAGTCAAAGATGACCCAAACTGGAAGCTCTCACTCTGTTAACAATGTTGTTTTTTCACATTTTGAGAGAGCCCTCAAGCAGTGTTACCTTCCTGGTGTTTCAGCAGTTTTTCTGTACTTGTCACTTCCACTAGTTTTTTGCCACGTGATTCTGCTAGTTTTGTAGAAGTCCTCACAATGCTAACAGAGACCCTTCCTTTCTTTTTCTAAACCAAACAAAAAAGGGCTGAAGCATATCTCTGTAAGCATCGTTAAAGTGTTCAACAGCCACAGTTACAATTCCAGCGAATTCAAATCGTTCCTTGGTTCTGGTACTTACAAGTCTTTCACATGGGAACCCAGAACAAATGACCAATCTAAGTTATATTCTTAAAAATAAAAATCATCACAGTGCCACTTTTATTTTGTAAAAAGCAGATATGTTTGCATTATATATATATATATATAACTTTTCTGTTTATGATGTTTTGCATGGAAGAATTTTGAAGAATTCTGCAACTACTGCTGGGGACTGGTATAAAGCAGCTTTAGTCTTAATTTTGACATTGAATATGTTACTGGTAATGCAATTTTCCTCCTAGAAATGGAGAGGAAATACTTACGTTTCTGTGTATAAATGTATATTTGACTTCCCAAAATGTTGACCAGGAATGAATTGAGCATATGACACTTTCAGCTGTACCCAGGCTTCTCTGATGTGTGTCAATTCAGACGCACCTGTCTGCCCTGGATAGAGCATGGTATGAGTTGTTCAGTGTTTCACTGGAGATTCCAGTTGAAATATTCTGCACTTACTAATGTTTTTACCAAATTTTAGTTTACATTTCTTTGAGATTGATGCAAGCACAAGGCTTGATTTTTTAACGCAAGATATCTTACTTTTTGAAAAAAAAAAATCAAATTTCAATTTGCTTTTTATTCATTTGAGTTCTTCTTGGCCTTGAATCCCTTGTGATATTCTGTAAATGTGCGAAGAACTGCAGATTCCTGCAGGTGCATTGATATGTTTCCCCTCCTTTTACAGGCCATTCAATTTTGTGATCACACAAATAGAGCAGCATGACTTGGAACTGTTCAAAGCTGCATGCACGTTTTGTAAAAAGAGATGAAAAAAGGTTATTTAATAATGTATGTTAGTTCCACATAGGCCAGCTTGTATGTTGCATGTACTTGTACAGTTTGCTCGTAATTACTATACTGAAGTAATCCAAGAAATCTAAGCCATCCATTTTTCTTATAGACATTTTGCAGGTTTTAGCCAGGCTAGGTCTGTGGGTCTGGTGCTAAATGTCTATAGATGGACTTTATTTTTTACCCTATGGAAAACGTGATGTAGTACGGACCAAATTCCTTCTAATAACTATTTTGGTGTAGATTCCTACTGTGGGGCTGTAACACATGTAGAAACTGTGTACACACTAGGTTTTAATTCATAGACATACTGCCTGCACCAAGTGAACTATTTATTATTACTCAACACATGGGAATTATTCTGCCCATCTTTCCATAGGGCACAGATTGGTTACTGCTCGACCTGCTGAGCAGGAAGAACTCAAGCATTGGTGCACTACTACTAGATCCTGTTCTGTCTTAGTGGACAAAAACCAACTAGCTATAATTCGATAGTATCTTTCTATTTTGACCACTTGTCTTAACACTCCCCTGTGCTTTTAAATGAACTTCCAACTCATGTTATGTAAACATGTTTAATAAAATTTCCTTTTCATGTCCAGTGTAGTAGTTGTGCTCTCTGTATGTTCTGAGGTTCATCTGTGATTCTGCTTGCTGCAGGACTGTGTGATACGTGTTAAGGAACAGTAAAATAAGTAATTTCTATGGTTCTTTTGATTGCTGTAATAGTGTATGTTGAAATCTGGGGCCAAAAACTGAGGCCTGGTGAAAGTCATGTTTGGTTGGCTTCCTTTTCCCAGAGAAAGCAGCCAAATTGTGCTCTCATTTGTTGAAGCAGGCAAATTGAAGTTAAAAAAAAATTAGCCAAATTATTAACTGTTGAAATCAAATCAGTTTGTTGGAGAGGAATGATGCTGTGGCTGCACTTGGTGTGTGCTGAGCCTTTAAGATACGAGAACAACTACTGACCTTTGGCACTTTTTAAAACCATGAACACGCCCTTCTATTGTGATGCTGTTATGAACAATGCTTTACAGAAATTTACCTGAGAGCAGAATTTGGCACTAAAATTTTGCTAGAGAAGCAAAGATTATGTACTTCTTTTTAGTTTTCCATGTCCCACAGATACCTGATCACAATTTAATAATAACGTAAAGACAGTATTGCCTCACTTTGAACACTTTTGTTTATTACTTTATTTAACGGAATACATGGTTAAGATACTGAAAAAATGACTAATTAAACATGGTAATCTCTGAAAAAAAAGGCATGTTATTCTGTGTGGTGGGAGTGATCTGTTTAAATACAGAATTTTTCATTCTGTTGCAAGAAGCCCTCAACTTTATTAATCTCATTACGTTGACCACTGTGTCTAATACTAGGATATCTTTTCCTTTCTGATCCTGAGAAATAAATGAAATCCAGCATTGCTGATCTCCCCCTAGAGGACAGAAAATATGGCAGCAAATGAACATGCTAAAATATTTCATTTATGGTGTTTCTGATGAACGGGGATCATAAATGCCAAGATTTCAGGAATGAGGTAGTAGAGCATGCTAGGTCAGACAAGTTTTGTGCTGGATTCCTTTCCCAGGGACTGCTGCCTGTTAAAAACTGAGTGTTGGGATTTGAATACATAAATAAATCAGCTGAAGTTCACTCTTGATTTTCCCTTAAGAAGGCAGTACCACCTTATATATATGTCATGCAGGAGAAGAGCAAATATTATTAAACTCAAAATGTCTGTCATATAATCACAGTTCTTTTCTTTCTGAGGAGTAAATGTTCTAAATTTTATATTCAAATACAAATTTATGTCCCTCTTTGTGGGCAGAGGAAGAAGCTTTTGGCCTTCACCACAGAGAGGCATCAGAACTGCTGTAAGTGTATGGGAAAAAACAGAGCTTCATGACCTCATGTTTTCATAATTCACAGAAAAATTTACATGTACAGTTTGGCTGCCTGTTTTCTCAGAAGGCAGGTTCAACCCAGATATAGGTTACAGAAGACACACAGAAGACAAGTTCAGAGAGGGCTTTCAGTGGCTGTTCTGTGTCCTCCAAGGTTTTACCTATAGCCTGTAACTTGTCCTCTATGAAGTTGTCTGTTTGCAGTGTAGTCATTTACTCCACTATCTACAGCCCATTTAACTCAAGGAAAAAAAGAATTATAGGATTTTTGCTGTTCTTTTGCCTTAAACGAAGAAAGTCACAGCAGTCTTCCTTTAAAGCCCCAAACACTCATTCCATCATTGCCCATTCTGCAAGCATAGCAGAAAGCAATCTGCAAGAAAGTTTACTGTTCTCAAAGGACGAGACTTTTTTCTCCAGCCAGGTGATGAGCATTCTGGTTGTTTTAAGTGATTAAAAACTCTTCCAACAACTATCAAGAGTAGAGTCTCAATACTTCCACTCCATTGGCTACTCTCTAGGAGAAGGAAATGCACAGGTCATGTATGAATTTTCTCAGTGTCTGCAGGAATGACCATGTATGCTGGAAGTTAAATACCATGCTTATGAAAGAGGTTGTGTGTGGCAGGCATGTCGCACAGATCAAATGGTCTTCCAAGTTTTGAGATCCAAACTCCCTCCTGGGGTGCAGAGACAGGAGGGGAAACTGCCTTCTAGGTGATGGTAGTGATTCAGCTGCAGACCCTGGCCTAATGAAATGCTCCTTAGTTAGGTATTTTATAGTCATTGGTATGTTTTGAAGCCATAGTTTTGAATTAAGACATAAAACCTTACAAATTCTGCCTAGTCAATTCAAAATGTCTTAGAAGGTACTGAGGGAAAGAGCATAAAGTTGTCAAAATCTGTAGACAGCAGTTTACCAATACGGAAATTCAGATAGGGCAAATATACAGCTGTATGTTTACACCTGGAAGTATAAGAACCACATTCTCAAGAGCCAGGTCTTTGGGAGGTTTCAGCTGCTTGCTGCTAGAAGAGTGACACCTAAGAATTTCACAGAAAATTTTAGATTGCCTCTGGAAAAATTGCCAAATGCCCATTGGATAACTCGGAATTATTTATTCTGATTACTTTTAACATGTCTACAGCTTTAGAGCCCTGCCAAAATGCAGTTACAATTCAGTAGTGGCCCACGTGGTAAAGCAGTGGTCTGTAGTGAAAGGCTGTATGGTATCACCTTCTGTGTGGATTTTCTCTAAGTCTGAAATCATTCATTTCCGTGAAGACTGAGTCTTTTCACATTTCCTTCTCATTTATATCAGTGAGATATACTGTGTGACTTTGAGAACATAGTTATGGGTTTCTGCACTAATAATTTTGTGATTAATTACATGGGGGTAGGTGTAATTCCCCATTTCAGAGATATTGCATAAATACAGACAGAGCAGAATAAAAATATTCAAAAAGCATTTGTGAGGTCCTCATGGATATAAATGACATAAGAAGATTTCATCTCCTGGCTCCCAAAGCATTTTTTACACTGACAAGTATCAGGAAGGAATATCTTCTGTATTGAACCTTGTCACCCTATTTCAGCTACAGCCAAATAAAAGTTCCTGAGCCAAAGCAAGATGCTGATTGATTTTTATTTTTTTTTTAGTTTATGTCAACACT